TCAAAATGAATATAATTTGTGCCAAATTCCATCTTTCTCTCCCTTCTCGAACATCACGAGAATGCACATCAGTCATTCTGTCAAGTTTGTCCACATGTATTAAATTAGAAACACATTTAAGCCTCCGGACAGAATAAATCCAGAAAATACACATTTTTGCCATTTAAAATTGGGCAACAAAGCAGTAAATAAAATACTAAATGTGCTCTACAGATGGGATATGGTTTGATGTGCAGTGTCTGCATTCTATATGGTCAAAGCTACCATCTCAATGGTGAATTCATCATTGCACAGAATAAGACGCAACGTGTTAGCGATCGCCTATTAAGGTAAGCGTCGCTCACAAGGGGTGGGTGTGGCAAGCACCATGCTTGGTTGCCTTTGTATCCCAAGTGTGAATATTGACGCACTCTTGCGAATACTCATTTGAGGCCGAGTTAACCTTTCGCAAGGCCCATGTTTCACGAAACAATTGCCACAAACACACGTGCCAAATTACACGCGTAATTTCCTGTAACGTGTACAATGACACGTTTCATTCCAGTGGACTAAACGTTCAATGCTTTATTGTTAAAGCGGAACTCTGGTGTCATAAAATTTCCATGAAACGAGAGAAACTCCAACCAAATGGGAAGCCCATTCTCTTTGTATAATAGTGTTGCTCTGATAATTCTAGATTTTAAGTTTTCGTGACTGCAAGGATTGATACTTTGTTTTTTTCGGTAAAGTCGCGTAGGTAAAAATTTTTAATAAATAAAATCACGACGTTTCGGGCGCAACACAAGCGTCCTTCTTCAGGACGCGGTGTGCTTTCGCTAAGTTGTCCCCACCTGAAGAAGGACGCTTGTGTTGCGCCCCAAAACGTCGTGATTTAATTTATTTGAATTTTTTACCGACGTGACTTTACCGAAAAAAACCAAAGAAGTAGCGTTGCTCTGCTTCTACCAGAGCAGCTGCAGCGCACCCTGAAGATCCATGAGATTGGCCGACTTATTGCTCCGACGAAATTGGTTATTACAAAAGTTGGACCGCATGTGTGCCTGCTTGCAAACTACGCATTAATGTTTTCCTTGCGCTGACATTTCAAAACTTCAGGGCCACCCACCGAACGGAGAGGCGGTCATTTTGAGATGAAAGTCGCTGTGAATTATTGAGCTCATCAGATATCACGTGTTTGGAGGACACATTAAATTCTGTTCACTTTTCCAAGTTTTCCCTCCCCCCTCTCTCCGTCATTCCACTCTTCTCTCGTCCTCTTTTCTGCAAGCTCAGCTCTCCTTGTGCTTGCTCGCCGCATCACTTATTCATTCTCCCTATTGTATACTCGAGGCACCTATTAGGCCACAAAGCACCTCTGTCTGTGCTGTGTTCTCCCGAAGATCGGCGCTTGTTTTAATCCACGTGTCCTCAAAGCGCACCTACCCTGCCAGGGGACGCGGCTGCGACATCACCGACGTTTCGTGCCCAACGGCCGCAGCTGTATCAAGTAGCAAATGACTACCGGATAAATAATGAACGGGTCACCCTGGACAGAGGTGAGTATACTGGACAGTGTAATTGTATTCGCAAATCGGCAGATTGTGTGCGATGGGCTTAAAGTGCGGGCACTACCACAACTTCCAAGGACGTGGGAAGAATTGGCCAAGTGCCATCTCGAAAGGGCTGCGGTGTGGAGCTCCCTCAAGTCGAGGCCCTGTCGCCAACATCGGAGTGCGCCAGCAATCGGCGGGGTCGCGCCTTTGCCATACAGCTCACGACGTGCGAGGAGCGAGCAGCCGAAATCTTTAGCGACGTCACGACGATGAATGAATTCCTCGCTTCGATGACGACGCGTTGAGCTGTCGCCTCAATCCACTTGTTTTTTTTTAAACAAATGACCCAAAAAAAAAAGAATTTAAAAAGTCGGAAAAGCGCACACACGCACGTGCCGATGGCAAATGTTGCCTTAAGCAAAGTCGTTCGCCTGAACTGTTTCACCCCTGTGCGTCTTCCTCCCGGTTTTGTTTCCATCACTTGAAAAATCCCGCTTGTATTTGTGTCAACCACAAGAGAACGAACGGGGGGGGGGGGGGGGGGGGGGCTGTTGGCATGTGTCCCGTGAACCTCCGCAGCGCCACAAGGCATCCATCACCCAAGGAGCCGGACGCGACTTGTAAACCCAATTGACTAAAATCGCCACGAAATTACAGCCCTTGACGCGCCCACTTTTAACTCTGCACAGAGACGGCGGGCACGGTTGCTTGCAAAAAAGTGAACCCGCAATTTTTCGATTTAAAGCTTTCGTGACTGCAGGGATACATCTTCTTGGTTCTTTCGGTAAAGTCACGTAGAAGGGAAGTAATAAAATAATAAAAATAAAACATTATAAAATAATTCTCACGACGTTTCGGCCACAACGAAAGCAGCCGTCCTCAGGTGAAGACCAGGTCTGTCGGGGAAACAGCGTTTGAATGAAACACCACCACGCTTGGAGCGTATATTTTATTACTTCCCTTCTACGTGACTTTACCGAAAGAACCAAGAAGATGAACCCACAATCTTTAGCCCCCTTCTGCCATAAGCGAAATCACGCAATCTCGTCCCGACGAGCATTTGAGAGCTATTCATGCCGCAGCCAATTGGCCAAATAGTTTGTGTGAAGTCGAACATTGTTTGAAACCCAAGCAACCTGTATATATTCATAAGGCTTCACAGTTGTTTGGCTTTAAACATTACCCTGGATACATCCCTCCTTAATTCGGATTTATTTCATTTGTTTTTATGAGCACATACCATATATACAGCGAAGGCGAGCAGCCGAGACCCGCAGCCATGAAGCGGATTGTGTATTTATTGCGATATTTCGACCTGGTGCCTTTATATATACACACATAGAAAAAAAAAACTAACTTGGAATGAAGGGCCCGGAATGGCATCGATTAAGCGAAGGTTTGCGAATTCTCGTGAATTTTTTTTTAACGCAACCCCTTGCACATTGGAGCCTCCGTAACCGCGTGGCTTCATCTCGGAGTCTTCGTGCGCGTCTGACACCGTTCCCACCGCCTCTTGATGTGGAGGAGTGGGGGAAACAGCAACCGACAACCGGACATTGACGCCCAGACTTGGTAATCAGGCATGATCGATCCACTGCTCGATGAGTCACCAGACATGATCGATCCGCTGCTCGATGGGTCACCAGACGTGATCGATCCACTGCTGGATGAGTCACCAGACATGATCGATTCCTCATCCTGGTCCTGCAATGCCACTCTACCCAGCGTCAGCACAGAGCTGATCTCATCGCTCCATCTCCGCGGCGGAGGTTCTCTTGTGCGGTTTCCTCCTCTGGATGTTTGGTTCAATTGTAACCGCGTCCTGCTCAAAGCCCACACACAGAACAATACAAACCCTGAACTAATCCTCTACATTGTTTCTGTGCCCTTAAAAAGAGAAACATCGTCTGCGTGCCACGCATTGTTTGGTGACTATGTTACCCCCTCGTCTTCCTTAGCAGTTTAATGTATCCATTGGGAGCATTTGAAAGTGAAAACTATTCTTTATCTTCTTGGTTCTTTCGGTAAAGTCACGTAGAAGGGAAATACAGCGTCTGACGCTGTCCTTCCGACAGACCTGTTCTTCACCTGAGGACGGCTGTTTGCGTTGTGGCCGAAACGTCGTGAGAATTGTATTTTATTATGTTTTATTATTTTATTATTTCCATTCTACGTGACTTTACCGAAAGAACCAAGAAGATGAATCCCTGCAGTCACGAAAGCTTTAAATCGAAATTTAACTATTCTTTAACCTCCAATTGGCGTGTAAAACCACCATGCTCTGACACCTGTCAATCGCGGCTGTGAAATACGCGACGTCTGCACTCGGCTGACAGCAATTGCAGAAGTCCGTGGCAAGTTAAGCGCTGCAGGTGCCATTAGGCAAAGAGATTGCGCGCTGGGTTGGACTTTTACGCACGATGGAGAAAGTCCAGCTACTGAGACACACACGGTCTGGTGCGGTCTCCACGAGTCCAGTCGACCCAAGCGGAAGACCTCAGAGCAGAAGCCTGGGACACTGCTCGGGCCGATCGTGGAGTTCATGGGTTCTTACTCCAACGGCATCAATCGCAGGATCTGGCACACGGGCAGAAAGCGTTGGCGAGGTGTGGTGCCACCGACAGACAGTTCCGGCCACGATGACCTCCTTCTCCTCGACTCTGCTGCATGTGGCTGGCGGCTGCCACAGCGAAGCCATCTGCCCTTGCTGCCGCCTTTCCGAACGTCGAGAAAGAAGCTCGCAAGGGGGAAGCCGAGTTATTTTCGCAGTCACCGTAGCCAATTTTTGTGTTGTTGTCTTTGTATATGTGCATGGAAGCACGTTGAATTATACGCCGCGTAACTGATCAGCACTGTGAAGTTGGGCCAAATAACCTCCATTAGTGAAATGGTATGGGGGAGGGGGGCTTCATCCAGCTGTGAATTGACAAAAGGGGACATACATTGACACGAGCATTCTATTGCATTAATTGTAGACACACCACACACGATATAGTTACACACAGGTGCCAAGCTCTTGAAGGTAGAGATTTACATGTTCTACACCCTGCTAGCATGAGCGAATTCTTTAGAACTGCACGTGATGCCCAAAATAGGTGGGCTCAGTATAGTGATAAGTCATTACACGGATAAGCCTTGACAAGTCTCAAGACCCACATTCGGGTGGGTGCGACATCGTCAGGGACGCCACGGTGGTGTAACGTCATCTTCCTCGCCTGGTGTGCAGGAGGTCGAGGTTTCGATCCCGACCCTGACGCCTGCTGCTGCTGTATATTCGGAGTGTGCGTGTCTCTCTCCCCGTGGTTGCGTGGATATTTCTCCAGGTCCTCCGGTGTCTTCCCTCCTCCACATTTCGAAACACGCGACGCTTCCCTGAGTAAGCAAGCGGAGTAGTAGTAGTAATAATACCACAGGAATGAACTCTGACGTACACGATCTGCCATAGGGACTGACACTGAAAAGACGAAGTGGTTTATGCCGTTGTCACGAATGATAACAATAACCAATGGGTTTATTTTGACATTGATTCGCACGATACATACATGGGCATCAACGACAGGCCAAACGGACAATAATCAAGGATTGGCAAATTATGCCGGAGTTTTGATGCATCTCAACGAAGCCCCGAGGGTGATTGCGCTTACAATCCCAGGATTATCGCCGCGGACATTCAAACGCCGTCAAACAAGAAGCGTTGCACACAGACCGACCCATAAGGCAACACGCGTTTTCAGCCTGCCAGACTGCAAAAGCCATATTCTTAGGTTTTTTCGGTAAAGTCACGTAGGTAAAAAAATTACAATTAATAAAAGTAAAATAAAATAAAATCACGACGTTTCGGAGGCAACACAAGCTTCCGTCTTCAGGTGGAACAGGCACAGCACGATAGCTGTATCAAGTGAGAGAAATTCAAAGAAAACCGTATTTGTTTATATACTGGTTGAGGGTGGGAGGAGCCAAAGTAGGCCCTGGATATTATTTTTGTGAGGTTCGGTGCGGCTGATGTAAAGGTGCATGTAAAAGCCACTTTGATAATATGTCCGTTCCCTACACGTCAGCAACCGCACACCACCACTCATTTCATGCATCGGCCGTTTTCCAATGCACGCCCGTGCTCAGATCTGTAAATCATTTCACACGCCGAAATGTCTAGCGGTGCACACGTATAGAGATATCCTGACATCTGTGTAGAGTGCTCAGCATTGATCACAAGCAGCGAGAGACTACTCTTTGAAATCAAAGAGATGGGGTTATGTCCACACTTTAACCCACCACCAGTGATCCACCACAACCAGTTACCAACCACGTGACTTCGCTGTGGGCAGATATTTATTCCAAAATAACACTGCCTACTTGTTTGGTGTCCCTCGAAAAAATATATTTTCAAATTCGGCACACAGTCTGGTATTATCAAACTTCAGTCCCCACTCTTCGTGGCTCAATGTTTCCACGTCCTCTGGTATCATTCAATATGAATAGGGAGTAATGATGCGTATAGTCCAAAGAAAGTTTGATTTTTGAGATTGGAAAAAATGGGCTGCAATGGGTGGTGTAGCCTGAAATTTGAGAACCTTTGCAATATGCTGCTATTCTACAGAGGAAGAGCCAGCTTGTGTTTTTTTTTATTGTACCAATATGATAATAAGAGACAGACTTCAGAACTACATGCTTAACAATGCGATCTTTCATAAAATATAAAAGACAGTGAAAATGTCAGAGTCAAAGGGTTATTAGTGTCTCACAAAACTCCAGAGCTTCCCCAGTTCAAAAGTAGAAACCTTTATGGAAATGAACAACACATGCAACGGCATGAGTTTCGCATATCTTCCATGCTTGGTTTGATTTCAAAACAAAACAATGCTGTTGGACCTTGAGACACAATATGATACGAATAATGATCAAACATCGGGCAGTCCCACCCTGTCTGCTGATGAGACACTGAATATCAAAACCAGTCCAGAGTTTTCTTGTTTTAAACAAATGGTGCAGAAAGTGTAAATTCACTCCCAGAAGACTGTGGCCGATGGTATGTGTAAAAGTACTTGTGTATGTTTTTTTGTGTGGCGGGGCAGATATGGAAGGTGATTACTCGAAGAATCTGAAGTTTATTATGCGAGCAAATAACCAATTGAGCGACACAGCTCTGTTACAAGTGTGACTCAAAGGTGTATTCTCTGCTTATTTATTGACTTATATTCTCCACAAATGTGTAATTAATGTATGCACGTTGTAATATATATGTAGTATATGTTCATTGATACATGTTGCAAAGTACAATTCAGTCACGGCTCCAAACTGTATTGATAAGACTGATGATTGATGTGTCGTCACTGGATTCACAACGTCACGGACTGGATGGGCTATATCCAGCTGATCTCCGAGGGCGAGGAGGGAGAGAGAGCAAACGCGTAACCGTGGGGGATGGATGGATACAGCTGTCACTGTATTTCCATGATGATGAGGATGTCGGACAAATGACATGGTATTGTAAACAATAGGCAAAAGTAAAGCAAACACTTTGCAAACGCCCCCCCAAAGTTCCTTATGTAACGTTTCCATTTTCATAACAAACTAAAGAACTCCCCGTAGAATTGGTCAAAATAATGGCCCGGTCTGACATTTACAACAGTCATTACACACACACACATTGAACAAAGCTATTAAAAAAAATATGTATCCTCATTATGTTTCTATGGGAATATTCTGACATGCCTCAGGGGAACCTATGAAGCTGTGTTAAATATAATTAGTACGTTTATAGCAGTTGGGAAATGTTTGTGTGTGGGCACAAAATCCCTGCGAGCTGCCTCCCAGAACTGGAATAATTTGGCATCACCGTAAGCCACCTACAAAATGAGATTTAATGATAAATTTCAAATGTGCCCTTGCGGTTATTACACTTGTGGCACCGTGATGAATGATAAAGAACACAGGCTGCACACTTCAAAACACGTTAATGACATGATTACTTATTTATTTTCGGTGTCTTTGAAGTGTGACATCCTAGGGTTTTTGTTGTTGCCTTTTGCCGAAATGTATTATTGATGTTCAGATGCTGGTCAGGGCCAACGCACCTATGGAAGTGCTTTGTGGCAGTCATTTCTATGCTCGTGGCAGTGAGTTATGTTATGTTATGGTTAAAGTTACATTCACATTATTATGTATTCATTACTTTTTCAACAAACACATCTTTGGAAATGCCCGTCGTACATTCTGGTTTCCAAATAGATTATTTATATCTTGATCTGGTCAGCAGTTCCACTGCTAGATTATATATTATTTTCCACCTGACGACGACCGCTTGTGTTGCGATCGAAACGTCGTGATTTCTTTTATTTTATACCTACGTGACTTTACCGAAATAACCAAAGAGTATAGATTTATAATCTATTTAAAATACTCAGCACGACCACGTCCTAAAAAAACGTACGTGGTACATTTTGACACTAATGCACAGCATGACTTAATTGTGGAGTTCAGGTCTCTATATATTACAATATAAATGAGAGGCTAATAAATGTTGATTCTTTTACAAAATGCTGAAAGTACCCTCCGGCTCAAATTGCATTCAAAATATATATTTCATGTAGTAATTTCTATGTAAAGCGCGGCAAGTTCTGCAGATATAATTACCGTGACAGAAGATGCCACTCGTACTTTTTGAGACGCCCACAGAGGAATTGAGCACGTATTTTGTTTCTACCTTAATATAGCAGTAATTGTGAGCTCCGTGGATCTCTATCTTGTTATTATAAAGGCCCGATGCACATCTGTCAAAATGATCACTCCATCAACTTAGCGCTGCGAATCCTCAGCCATTCGGTTACCTCCATCACCGTTCCTGAGCAGCCACTGATTCCCATTGTTTATGTCGAGTACTTGTGTACCTATGATTGAATCACCCAGAATGCACCCGATCTTGTTGGACCTTAGAAGCAAAGCAGAGATTTAGCCTGGACATTGCATGCATGGGTGACCACCACGCACGACGGGTTGTTATAGGCCGCTGTGCGCAGCATAGGGCAGTGCTGCAACATTCATTGTTGTACTGTGCTCCCACCGTCTATGCTCCCCGCCTTGAGACCAGCATGGTGAAGTATGGTCAAATCCGGGGCAGGGTGCGATATTGATGGATGGGCTGTACGTGTGCCATTAAGAGTTACGTCACCAACTCATAAGGCGTCTCTTCTGGAAATCCAACAAAACACCAAACCTCGTCACATGAATATCAGAGGGCTCCTTCAGAAGACGCCCCTATGGGTTTCTCGACACCATGGCCCGTAGATTTATTTGCCGAATGCCATTCATTTGATATTGTTTAACCGCCTCTCTTATATACATTACACATATACAATTACAATACTGAAGCTGTGTGCCAGTCTGCATTTTATACAGTATATACATGCTGTATTTATAGTATGCACAAGCGATGTATATGCTAATATGTACCGCACACAAATGCACACGCACGCGCGCACACACACACACACACAGAAATACATTACGTTGTATATTTCAGAAAACAGTACAACATTGTCCGGTACGTTAATCCCAGTACCATGCACGACCAGATCTGTGGCATACCTGCAAAGCGATGCTCCGTCGCTCTTAAATGCGACGCGAACGCCAATTCCGTTCTCCCGCACCGCGGGGAACAGGGCGAATTCCTGCACATCACCAACTTCTTTCGCAGCAACCCACCCGCCAATTACGCCCCACCGCTAAGCCCTGCAAACACAGTGATCGCGACGCGGCACCTGCGCGTGGGTGCCTTCTGCGGAGTTCGCGGAATGCGAGATGCTGGCGCGTTGTCCCCGAAGCGGAGAACGGCGCCGTCGTGCCGAAATTTTGCCACTGCACGACCAAGGGCAGAGCGGTCGAGGTGCCTCGTATTACGGATCACCCCCATTTCCTGCCATCATCTGAAATCATGTGTGTTCATATAAAGTGTGGGGCTCGGTTATATCCAAAACTATTTGTTCGCAATGAGGTCCTGTTAAATATAACGTTAAATATTACCCTCCATTGATTGCCCGGATCTGAAATCTATTGCAGACTCCGAATAAATTTGTTTGTTAATGAACACGTTTGTTCTTGACTTGAACCTCAGTTTTGAGACTGTGTGTAACTTCTTCTTGGTTCTTTCGGTAAAGTCACGTCATTCAGACTCTGTCTTCTCGACAGACCTGTTCTCCACCTGAGGACGGCTGCTTGCGTTTGTGGCCGAAACGTTGTGAGAATTATTTTATTATGTTTTATTTTTATTATTTTATTATTTCCATTCTACGTGACTTTACCAAAAGAACCAAGAAGATGAATACCTGCAGTCACGAAAGCTTTAAATCGAAATTGTGCGTAACTTGCTGTGGTAAGGCACCAGAGCGAGCCGCCCCTACAGATCACGCGACACACACACACCAATGTCCACCACCAAACCCGGCTCAATGCCAGTGGTGACAACCACAAGGTCACCACCCTCCCCTACATTACTCTTTGTTGAAGTACAGATGAAGTATGGCTCTCAGCGCAAAGACAAAGATCCCCCGTATAGCCTGAACAGACCATTGAAGGAAGTGCTGTTACCGAGCCGGCACGGCACACGAGGGGGTGGGTGGCCAACACCACGCCCGGCCGCATTTTGTCTCCAGAGTAGCTATGTTTACACATCGCAACAGGAACTCATTTAAGGCTGAGTGGACCTAGGGAAGGCCCGGGACTGGTTCAGATGATCACCGGTGGTGGCCACGAGCGGGAATCGAACTCGGGTCGTCGGGTTCGTAGCGCAGCGCGCTAACCGTGCCAACACTACCGCTCTCAACACAGAACAGTGTTTGACAAACAGTGCTTGAAGATTATATTTTTCTGTTTCACAGGACTGGGTGAACAAAGTGAGATTTAATGCATTTCAGTCCATCTCTTAGAATGGCACAGCTTGTCCTCGTGACGTGCATCAGAGTGAAAAGTAGGCTCCAAGGTCATATTGTATTTCCAGAAACCATTGACACTCGCTCCCCGGCAGCTTCATAACCACTTTCAGCGCGTCAAATGTACGACTTTCCCTGCCAGTGGGGGTGTGAGTACAAACGCCAGGCTAGAAATGACTTTGAAACACGTTAACCTGTACTGAAGCACCTTGCGGTGGATTTATGAGAACACTATGGCCCAGTTAAGAGTGTGGGTCCAGAGGAAATATGGGTCAGAAACAAAAGGGGTTAGCCAGAAAGAGGATAAAAAAAAAACTCACAAGTGTCACAGTAACTCTACAGGCACCTCCGATTAGCATGGTTGGCTACGTACGGTGCGAAAGGTCAACATACAGGGCTATGCCTTTCAACATCCTTCTTTGTAATTCTTACATTCCCCCCCCCCCACCTTACCAGCTCCAACGACATTGTTCATTAATTCAATATCAGTTGCACGTGAATGCCATCTTGAGGTCAAGGGTGAACGCAATCTGGGAGTTGAAGTTAAAAGACCGGCTGGCAATGAGGTTTATGGGAAGGTAAATTGACGAAAAGCACATTTCTTTTCTCCTTCAATGTTTCTGCATACGAAAGGCCGATGCACAAATGTAGAAGGACAGGGCAACTGCCGTTTGAATTTTCACACACTTGATTTTGTGACCGATTTTCAACGTCACGTGTCTTTGATGACTCCACTTTTGGAACACGTCTATGATCAAATGCGTGTAAAAGGTAAAAGTGCAGCCCTGGAAATATCTTGCTCATGCCACCGCTAAGCGGAAGGGCCTCTACTAGAGGGAGTTCTTGAGGAGCCCCTCTGGAGGATATATTAGCTTACTATTCTCTGCTGGCCAGTACCTACACTTTACCCCACCAAACGCGACATTGTCGAGCAACTCACTGTGGTGTACCCATTAATGCTGACGGATGAATAGAGATGCGGGCATGCAGGGGAATGAAGAAACCTGCCCATTGTTTCAACTGCCACGCTCGGAGATTGAATCGGTGACCTCTGGATTGCAAAATCCAGTGTGCAAACCACTGCATTACGACAGCGTCCCCGACAATTGTGTAACCTTGAGAAACGTCTGCATTCGAACAGCCGCAGTGTAACACCTGCGACACCCACAGGAAAATCACGATGAAGGTACAAATGGAGGAACCATTGAGCCGTTTCTCACAGGTTTCCTCAACCACACGCAACCAGAACGGATCTCAAGTGCAGCCCAATGAATGGCTTAGAAAGCCCGTGTAATCAAGCACGTTCTCATGTCAAACTTTACATGCCTCGTTCATTGAGTCATAGGGGCTTGATTCCCAGGACTTTTTTCACCTGATTTTGGGACAAAAAGTGCCACTTTTCCCTTAGAAAAGGGGCCGCTTTTTTGCCCACTATTTGACAAAAAAAAAAGGCGGTCTTTCACCAACATGGAAATCGAGCCCCACATACTGTAGCCTGCATTTAAGTTCAACAGAATGTGGTCACTGAAAGGCGGTCGTTTTAATTAAAAAAGAGGCTTAGATCCACCCGCTTTAGCAAAACACTCGAGGCCCTTTCTATTGAATCACAAATAGCCGTCCCTTACAAAGGCTGACAATACCCAGAATGCTCCTCTTTTAAGTGATGACCTATGGTAAATTCAGTTGCTCCCGCATATCGATTCCACATTTTAGATGCAATATCAAAGCGGCTATTCCATTTGGCGTCCTTAAAAAAATATTGACCAAATTATGCACACCTACCCCCCCCCCCCCCCCGCCGCCAAGCAAGACTATCAAATCCATGAGCACATCCAAGAGAGAAGGCAGCGGGGCTTTGTAGAATTCGTACAATCGCTTAGTATATGTAATGATATGCAGCAAAAATACCCTCCAATGGCCACATTGGATGGATAAAAACATGCTAACCACAACGCTTTGTGCAGTCTATATTTGATGCAAATGAAAGCAACCTTAGAAAATTCATCAAGAGAAACATTAACAGAATATAGGCCACATTTAAATATGCTAGTTTATTTTTCCAATGCCCCTTATCTGTATATGATTTTATATGCACAAATAAATGTTTTCGTGAATCTTGTGTAACATACATAGATATAATAAGTGTATGGTTTATTGTGTTTTTAAATAACTAATTCACAGTAGTTTTTACCAGTGGATTGAATTTAAATGATCATTCGTATCACTGTATTCATATCAAATAATATATCCTTTGCAACATGGTTGGTCAGTTGCTCGGCAAAAAAATAAAATGGCAACCAGTATGTGAATGCACTTCCCTGACCTCAATAAGAATTCACTTCAAACTGCGCCTTAAGGGTGCTAGAGAACAAATCATGACTGCTTTTTCATCACAGGGCAATAACTTTATTTCCTTGGGCTGCAAAATTTACCTCTATTGTTCAATAATTCCTCCCACCCTCTGATTAAGACATCACATCACAAACTCGGTAAGCGTTCTTAAGGCCGGAGGAAAAACTTTGCTACTATACCCCATCAAAAGCAATTGCTATGTAACACATCAACGGTAGTTTGAGGAGCTAAGCATGAAAATCAGGCCTGGTAAAGGGGGCAGAACGTTGAGAACAACTCTTCGTTGTGTTTTCGGGTTGTGCACCGCGCGTTGTTCGGCATGGTGCCCGACGTTTTTCTCTGGGTGGTACGACCCAAAAACACAGCGGAGAGTTCTAGCGCACAAACCGTGAAAACCTCCGCCGTGGAAGCGAGCACGACAGGCTTTGCGCCACGCTCCTCTCCCTTACGGACTGCGCCTCAGCACTGTGCGTGGGGTATTTTTTTTATTTTGTGAACCACGAGTGAAACTTTGCGACAAGGTCAACAAAACCAAATGTACGGATAAACCAGTAAATAAATCCTTCGCTGAGAACGGGGTTTCATGAATCCCTGCAGTCACGAAAGCTTTAAATCGAAATTTAACCGCCTCTACGGGGAGGGATTCCACATAACTTTGAGATCCTTCAACAATAACCAACGTCTTGAGAATTATTTTATCATGTTTTATTTTTATTATTTTATTACTTCCCTTCTACGTGACTTTACCGAAAGAACCAAGAAGAGGGGTTTCATGAACTCGATTTCTCTAAATCCACCATGGGGCGTCTTTCCAACTTTACCAACCCAGTAATCATTGCGCCTTTTGGCGTCATCTGGTCCAACCCATGTGAGACTAGGCTCTAAGGAACGCTGTCTCGGGTGTGGACCAATCAACTTCAAGGACAGTGCATACATTATCAAATTTGTGTTTTGTGTTTGCATTATGACTGCAGGTATTGTGGTCTATGCAAACATGACTCCTTGTAAAAAAGGTGTCAGTTTTGTTGCCAGATAGAAGGGTAAAAAACCAATTATCATTGGGCCTTTGTTGGCCCAACGATTCCAACCGCATGCCAACATTTGCCCAAATTTCATGTTTACTGGGAATCTACCTCCATTCAGAGAGACAGCTATCGTTTCAACGTGCACATGTCTGATGCTTGCTATACATGTCCTGCTGCGTGCTGTACAGCATTGATCCAAACTAAGTTGAAGATATTGTTTACATGTGTGTGTGTGTGTGTGACCCATATGATGTACGCAGCACCGATTGAAATTAATCAGTGCTCTCCATAACCATGAGCGACAAGTTCAGCAATCATCTGGTGCAGGCACCATGCAATGACTTCATTTGTATTCGATGGAGGTAAAGTGGTAAATTTGCAGACATATTTTGTGGCGAGTCGGGAGAAATGGTATATGGGAAATCCTACAATGGGGATTTAAATAATTACTCTCGCAGGAGACTAATCAACAGTGGGCCAAAGCCATTTAAAACATTCGATATGCATGCGCCATACGACACCATCTCAGCTTCTCTCCAACCCCCGGCAAACTTGCAATCCGAATACAATTCAATGCATTTCAGCTTCAACAACGTGTGGCGTATCTGACAGAGGAGCTAGGGTCACCGGGTAACGGTGAGAGACATTTGCAGAGAAGGGCTCTGCTGTACAAAGCTGCCCTCACAATGCCATTATTTGAACTGTCTTTCCAGCAATTTACCATTCACCACTGCTGCCTTGAGCACGAGATTTCCCAATGCAAAGCCATTGCTTATATATAATATTCATGCGTACAAATGCCCATTAGCCTTAAATGTTATAAAAGTGTATATTTTTATTCATTTTACTTAAATAGCATTCAGAAAATGTGAATAATTCCACCGACGTATTGTACGATGCAACGAAACTCGGTGAATGATGAATAACAAATCGGTAAAGTTTGTACAAAATAGTTTGTGCTTTTGCCGTACAAGTTGACCTTCGATGCCAGCAAGCTGGAGGGTTTCAGAACGTCAGAGCCCTCGATGCCAATGTCGATGCTTCCCCCCCCCTCCCCGTTACCGTCTGTAGTGCTCCATTAGAACCCTCATGTGATCAGTTGTAACATTAAGTGCAGCAGGGCTAACCAAAGCTCACCTGGGACATCATCCCGGTGCCCGAAATCTGCAGCGACACTGCAGCACACGGGTAACTTGAATGAGTTCGACATACACACATACACGTACACCTGCACCACGTATTGGCACTGCGGGGCAAGCAACGCAATTTGTGTTGCCCTCTGCGACTCGCAACACATCCCATCGTCCTTAGCATATGTACATCTGTTCACCAATGGCACTAGGTCAGTCCAATAAACACACGTACACACACACACTCACGCACAAGTGTAACAATGCAGCCATCAAAGCCACACATATAATGGCATAAATATGACGGGGCTGTGAAGGAAGCACATCTTCTGATATGACCGTCAGTGATGCTCTTCCAGAGGCCCAGTGTTCAGGATGATTGCCCAGAGCTTTTCTATTGACATCCACAGGTTGTCCCCTCCATCACTATCGTACACTCATCCCTATCTCCGATCCCACGAACCTCAATCCACAAAGGCTACAAAAGGCGACTCGCCGCCACCTCCTGCTCGACCACCACCAGCTCCCACATGATCCTCCAGGTATCGGCGTGCGATCCGTAGAAAGATCCTCGCGAGGGAAGTGGCGACAATGGGGCAAACCGTGCAGATCAGCCCAAGCGCCTGGGAGGCTCTTTGTGCGAGCGAGGGGAGGAAGCCCCGAACACCGTCACTCCATGGTTGGGTAGAGGACGGACACCGCAATGCCAACCACCATGGCCATCAGAGGCAACCAACCGGCCCAAGCCTTCTGCTGCAAAACAGAGAGAGAGGGGGGGAGGGGTCGAGGTTGACAAAGAGACACCGCTAAGCATAGGCATGGCACTGACGTTTAACATTGATTTCAAGTGCTTGCATTTTTACAGCAAAAAAAAAGTGCCTTTAAAAAAGGGCAAAATTTACGAGGGAGTCGAGGTCTTTTTAATTGTAAACGGGTCCTATTTCATGTGTAAACTTTTTCCAAAATATAAGATGAATTTAAGTTTAAATGAGACTTGGGCAAATGTTGGCTGCTCCGGGGCTTAAGTCTCCGGAGTAGTTTCACTACTTACCATCATCTCAAAGTTGCGTGGGTCAGTTAAAACTTTGACCTTGTATAATATAAATACTAAATGTGATAAGACATCCAATAAACAAAAAACTATTCTGAAACAAAAAGCAAAGTAATTACGCGTGCGATGTTTAAATCGCGCGAACAAAAACTAAATCCGATTTGTATATGCGTTCATATTTATTTTGAATGAGAGCTCACGACTGAACGGAAAGGCAACTTAAAATCAAGAAACAAAACGCCGAAACAATGAATTCACGTGGGTGTCGACCACCTTCGGATATCGGTTCAATCCATTTTAGTTAAGTCCTGAGATTGCAGGTCACCGTCGAAAGGACGGCAATGTTGACTTGAAATGACACGTGCAAGTCAGCGGACACCACATTTGATTTTCGTGATGTAAAAACAAGAAGAACTTGCAAGAAAACATGTAACAAAAAAAAAATAGTACATTATAACGACGCGGTAAAAAGTAATTTACAGCCGTTTCTCAACCCATTGTTGGATGCGCGTGCCCCCGTACTGTGCCGCTGATGGGAGTTGTTTGACCATACTTCACCACGCCGGTCAGTGTGGGTTTGTGCAGTGAGGGCCAAAGGCAGATTCGGACACCAGTCACCACCAATGTGAGGCACGGCCAGGGATCGTACTCAGGTAGCCGGGTTTCGTAGCGTAGTGCGCTAACCACCGTGCACTCTTTTGGCGTGGAGCAGTGGCGTAGCATATGTAAGTTCAACTTATTTCCCACCGCGCGCAGCCAACCGTGATAATCGGAGGTGCAAAATCGCACCTCGCGCAGTGGTTAGCGGAGGGTGTTTCTATAGAGTGCACCACTTTATATAACAAACAGAATTACACACAGTCATCTATAACACTGCGGCCGTGTAAGAATACATTAATAAGAGATGACGTTTTGGGCAATGGCTCTACTTCATTGAACATAAACATTGTTTAAAATGTGTGGATATACAGGACTAGCCCCGGGATATCTTTACAAAAGATCACGCCATTTAGTTCACATTGTAAAAGAAGATAACTTTATACAGGTGATCTTTAGAAGCCATTGTTAGAGGCAGCCATGAAATAACCAGTAACCGCTCGGCCAGGCGCTGCTTTTTATAGTTTGCACGACATTCGCTTTGAATTAAAATCTCATTCCCACGTTTCATTCCACTCGTCCGTCCGTCGCTCGGCGGGTCTGGGTTCCTGAGTACGGCTCCTCCCTGCTGTTGACTCAGCTTTGGAAAAGCAAGGCCCCCCGTGACCTCCTCCTCCTCCTCGTGGGAGGAGGAGCAGCCAAGACGTTGCTTTCAGCAGCCCTCGCCACAAGTGGCGAGACTTTGAAGAAGGTTCAGGACATTTATTTATTTTGTTGCACTCTCTTCCGTGCCACATGCAAGGCCGGTAAAGTTCGCGATCTATAACACGATGGAGAGTTGAGCGAGCGTTGCGAACGCCCACATGGCACCGTTCATTGTACGAGCATGCACTTTGTGATCCAGGGACAAGGAGGTGAGGTTGGCGGATCATGAGAACGTCATTGATGGCAGTACAGCAAGTAGGTCGTCAATCTGTGCGAATCTGAGAGTGGTCTTCCCTTGTAAGCGTGGCACTTTGGTTTCCTCTGGCATTCAAAAATACTCGATGAGGAATGACACACACATCACTAGCCGGACAGGTTTTAAAAAACAAAAATTATTTAAGCCTTAGTGAGTCGAGTCTGTGTTAAAATATTTACATTTAATTAACTTTTCTACTATTTACTCAGCGCCACATGTAGATTACCAAAAAAATAATGGAAAAACGTGCACGCACACACGTTTACACACACGAAGAATATATATATAATCCCACAGGGGCTTTTGAGGCAAGTGCTGTTAGCAAGCAGCTATTAAGGCCAGCACGACATACGAGGGGGGTGGCCAGCACACTGCACTAGGTACTCATTTGACACAGAGGCGACCTAGGGGAGGCCCAGGGCTGGTCCAGATATTCGTCACTGGTGTTGGCCGTGAGCGGGAACCCAGGTACATAGTGCATCGCACTAAACTCCCATTCCACACACGCACGTTCACACGCACACAGACGAGTAAGGCACAGATACACACACACACGTTCACACGCACACAGACGCGTGCGCACATATACACACACACACACGTTCACACGCACACAGACGAGTACGCACAGATACACACACACACGCTCACACGCACACAGACGCATGCGCACAGATACACACACGCCGTTCACACGCACACAGACGCGTGCGCACAGATACACACACGCCGTTCACACGCACACAGACGCATGCGCACAGATACACACACGCCGTTCACACGCACACAGACGCGTGCGCACAGATACACACACACACGTTCACACACACATAGACGAGTACGCACAGACACACACGCCGTTCACACGCACACAGACGCGTGCGCACAGATACACACACACACACGTTCACACGCACATAGACGAGTACGCACAGACACACACGCCGTTCACACGCACACAGACGCGTACGCACAGATACACACACGCCGTTCACACGCACACAGACGCATGCGCACAGATACACACACGCCGTTCACACGCACACAGACGCGTGCGCACAGATACACACACACACACGCTCACACGCACACAGACGCATGCGCACAGATACACACACACACACGTTCACACGCACACAGACGCGTACGCACAGATACACACACGCGCGCATAAGCAGCCCCCCCCCATTCTGGCCGTTTTTTATGATGAACATGAACAGCGTGGCATCGATTCCAAGCGCTCCGATAAAGGCAGCATGGCATAGCGACTGGTTCACCCGATAACTTACAGCGACTGTGGCCCGAGAGGCAGCGTGCCGCTTCAGGAATTGATACGCAGCGTACGGTGTTTGTCTAACCTTCGCGCGGCGGTTAACGGCGCTGTTTCGGCCGTGCCACAGATAACATCCGAGACCCAACCACAGTGTCCTGGTGCACGTGGCTCCGAATGTTCGCTGTTCATCATTAGGTTGGCACCAACACAGTTCTGAAAATAAATAATTAGCGGTGCCAAGCTCCGTGCGGTGAAAATCCCCTCGTTCATAATCTAGGCTGTAAAAGTGCATCATCGCCTAACGCGACAATCGTCCTGTACATTTCAATGCCCCTTCCGGACAGTGTTCATAAAGCATCTCATTTGGTGTTTCACCACATGCAGCATTTCATTTTAACTGCGCCGCCACGAACAAAACTAAAAATTAACGGTTGCGTCACGTAGAAATTAACTTTTATTGCGCACGAGCAGTCGAACCCGTTCTTCGCACGGAAATTCATAGTTTAGTCCGAGCTTTAAGTTTATTCAATGCACGAATATAGATGATGACGTTGCATGGTCCTTTGCGTTACCCGAAAAACAACGCGTGGAGGTGACCACGGAGCTAAGCGCCACCTAAAATCTCCCGGCACGCTGTTAACCAGCTGTCGGACTACGGCGCGCGAAGAGCCGCTTAACTGAGGTGTGCTGCATGGTCATCCCCTCCCAAAATACCAAAAGTATTCCCCGATATTTCACTGAAAACCCTAGAAAAAAACGTGATGCTTGCGAGAAAGAAAAAAGCCGAAACAAATCAATTTAACTAAATGGGATGTTTTTCACTCAAGGAAATGCAACCTTTAACCCCACTTATACGTAAGGTCGATTGTGGCAACTCGGGAAGGGAATGACGTGGCGAGCTGATAAATAGTTGCAAAGAGCAGAAGCTGTGCAAATGTCATGACGTCAGAGCTCAGCGTTGGAGAGTTTTTGCTTCGGGTTGACGCCACACACTTCATGGTCATTCCCTCCCCCCCCCAAGAATACAAAAGTCTATTTTTATACTTTTTACATTGTGGACAATATGGGAGCTACCCACACGCCAAATTTCAAGTTTGTGGCATGTTGGCAAGTATGCTAAATCTTTCGGTAAAGTCACGTAGAAGGGAAATAAAACACAATAAAATAATTCTCACGACGCTTCGGCAACAACGCAAGCAGCCGTCCTCAAGTGAAGACCAGGTCTGTCGGGGAGACAGCGTCCCTTCTACGTCACTTTACCGAAAGAACCAAGAAGATGAATCCCTGCAGTCACGAAAGCTTTACATCGAAATTTAAGTACGCTAAACATCTCGTATAGACACGCATATCCCCAAATTTCCCTTTAATTATTGCGCGTATAAGCCGAGCATAACGTGTTGTACGCACATGCATGTTGAACTTCTATCGCACCGCACATGCATGTTTACGGCAGTGAGAGAATGATTCCATAAATAATCGCTGGCTATTGTAACATCGTCCCTGTTGTGCGTTTTACCCGAGCGATGATTCAAGAACCCCAAATCGCCAGCCGGACTATTCTGCCAGCGATGCCAAACGGACGTCTTCTTCCTGCTGCGTCTGCTTGTGCACAGCTGCGAGCGGCAAACCTCGCTTGCGCGTGCGACCTCATTTCATCACTCAACGTCTCCCATGGTGGTCATCCCCCCCCCCCGCCGCCTCCAGAGACAGCAGAGAGGAGCTCATTAATACAAGCGTTGGAATGGGCATCTTTTAAGAAAATGTGTTTTTATCGGTACAGTAAATGCACCGTTGGTATTTTGCACATCGTGGTTGCTCATAAAGTAAAGGCATTTCAAAGCCGGTAGGGAAACGAGTAAATTAATTCTAGA